ACTAAGATAACAACATTCATTCTTGTTTTATTTATTTATTAAAATTATCATACTTAATGTTTATTTATTTATTTGAAAACGAATGTATTTTTGGTTAAATGTCTTTATTATGTTGGTAATATCCGGTTTACTTACAAATAAATCCTATAATAACTCAACTATTAACCGTAATATAAATAGACTTTAACTGCCTTATTCTAAACACTTCGAAAAAATGCTCAGGCAAAATGAAAATGATGTTTTTTTTTCTTTTTTTTAAATAAAAAAATAAAATAAAATAACATTTAGAAAACATTTTACCATTATTCACCAAAAATTATCAAAAGCGGTTTTTTCCCACCCCTTTAAGTGATTTTATGTTTTTTTTATAAATTGTTCATTTTCTTTTTCAGCATTTTACGAATACGGTTAAGATTTTTTTTTGTTGTTTTTCATTAAGTCGTCACAATTGTAAAATAATATCAAATAATATATTATTTTATTATGTATAAATTAAAAAATATTTTTTACTATACAGATAAGAGAATTGATATATAAAAACCAATTTAAGCAAAAAGTATATTTTTTTCCTTCAATTATAATTTGGTAAATTTTAACCTTTCTCAAAATTTGCCGAACATTTAGGTTTGTGAAATTTTGGCAAAGATTTTAAGAATTGTATTTGATTAAAATCAAAATAATTAATAAATAATATAATATAATAATTTTAATTGGATTATACTTTAAATTAAATATCCACATCTTTAATACCACCACATTTACCAAATAGAGCATTTGTTGTAATTGTATTTTAAAAGAAGTTAACACGTTTCCTTGTTTCGCTGTTAATTTTTTTATTAGGCAGTGTTATTTTTTTCTTTTTTTGTCATTTGGTCTTTTAAAAAGACTGTCATGCCCGTTTTATTTTTTCTTAACATTTTTCTGCACAAGGATATTACTCAAACCAACTAACAAATAAGAACTAGTTTAAATAAGATATTATATCGAAGATATAATTTTTATATTTTTTCGGGATTTACTCAATAGAAACATCAGAAATCCCGAGACATATATTTTCAAGCCGATAAAATTTTTAGTATTAGGCGATGTACTTGGAGTATCCAAAACAGATTCACTATCAAGTACATTTCAACCACCTTTATTGTCATTGTTATTGAATATATAGATTAATATATACATTACATATAACAAACTAGTTTACTTTTTGTTGTAACACATTCTATAACTCATTTTGTTGTAGTTCAATAAATTGAAAAGATAATAGTTTGCTGACTTGTCTGTTTTTCGTTTTTTAATTCTTTGTAATACGTTCCGTTGTTTTTATCCAACTTATTGGTGTGATTGTTTTCAACCTTTTTACTAAAAATCCATCTAAAATTTAATTTGATTATTTTTGAGATGTGAACAAAAATTCTGAGTTGGTGAAAAACAATCTTGAAAAATAAAACAAACTATATAGTTCTTAAAAACAACTATATTTTATGTTTCAAAAAATAAACTAATTATTAATTAGTGATAAAAAAATAGTGGAATAACAAAATCAATTAGACTATTGAAACAAACACCGTTGTATATTTTCTTTCAAATATAATATATATTTTCAAACATATTCAATTTGACAAAAAAATAATTGTGAATATTGTTTCTTATACAACTTGTCGAAAGTAAAGAACTATTTACTCAACTATCATCTTCGGGAACACATCGTTTTTGGTGGTGTTTAAAAACAGTAAAATTTTGGTACTTTTACAAGTC